TCATTTCTGTCTTAGGTCTTTTCTCAGACCCTCTGCCAGGGTGTTCCCTTCTCCTACCTCTAGCCATTCGTCCATCCTAGGTTTCCCTGCTCTTTTGTGCCAGTTTCAAGGTCACTTCCTCCAGGAAGCCTTCCCTAACCATTTGAGCTTCACAGTGCTAGGCAACTACACGGTTTATTTTACCCATGAGCTGTAATTGTACATGGTTTGAGGTATTCACCATGTTTTTCCTGTATATCAAATCCTCTACTAAATGAGGGAGCTCCCAGGGGCTAACACTCAAGCTTGTAACACCTGCTGAATCTCATCTGATTAACCAGCATCCCCACATAGCCACATGATTTGAATCCAGTTATCCTCACAATAATGAAAGTCTAACTATGGAGCCAGTACCAGCCTGGCTCCCCTGTCATCCTCATTCTGGGATTTCAGCTTCTCTCCTGTCAGAGGCAGGATGGGGACATCAAAGCTGTGGTTAGCCTCATTCTTCATCCTGGGGAGACAGACCTAGTTCGGCTCCAGACTCCCAAGATCCACAACTGGATCTGCAATGGCCCTAAGCAAGTCTCTTCCTTTCTCTAAGCCTCAGTTTCTCCTTTTGTTTGACAAGGAGCACTATAGGCCTTGACAGCTGTAGCCTGGGATTTGGCTCCAACTTTGATGCACAGGCGGTGACAGTTCACATTGCCTAGGGGGGTTAAATTTAAGTCCCGTGTGTTTATTAGAGTAAACTGTACCAGACTGATAGTGGTTTGGGGGTTTTTTTGGGGGGGGGGTACCAGGGATTGAAGTCACAACCTCACGCTTTCCAGGCAGGTGCTTATATCACTGAGCTAAATCCGCGGCCCAATAGTGGATCTTTATTGTACCAAGATTCTTTGAAGTTTTGCTTTTGTTTTTATTTCTTTGTGGTTTTTGAGATCAGATAGGCTAGTCTCAATCTCACGGGCTCAAGTGATCTTCCTGCTTCAGCCTCCTGAGTAGCAGGAACTACAGATGTGCCACCACACCTGGTCTGAAGTATTGTCAGTGCCTTCAAAGGTGGAGACCTCTTAGGCTTGTATCTGGAAGTTACATGCATCCACATCATGCTCAGATGGGATGTCTTATATCACTGAGTGTTCCCCAAGAGCTCATAGGCAAGCCACAGGAACACTGGCAGGTAAAGTGCTGGTAGCAGCCCATATATGAGTGTGTCTCAGATGGGGGCACTAGGGGACAACTGATTCCAGACTCAAGGTGAGACAGGACAAGCCCATCTGAATAGGTTGGGTGAGGCAAGTATGTCAAGGCAGGACTTTCTCTGACCAGGTGAAGGCCTGCGTAGAACACGGCTGGGTCAGTTTGGCTTGAAAGGCAGGTGCTAGTTCAAGACACACTCAGTCCCTGGTGTCTTCTTTCATGCCCTCATAATTATGCCCACCCCATCCCACTCACCTTGCAAGACTGAGCTGGAATCCCTTCCTCTTCCAGGGAGCCTCCCCTCTCTGCCTGCGTCTGGGGCCTGCCCTTCCTGGAGATGCTTGAGTTTCTCTATCCCCCTTTCATCTTGCTGAGTGCCAAGCCTTCCCCTCAGGATTCTACATGCTCTGGGTCTTCAGATTATTCCTGCCAAATGAGGATCATGCCTGCCACTGTATGGATGAAGAAACAGACTCAGAGAGGCTAAGTGATTTGCTTACATAGCCTGTGTTATCTGTTGCTAAAACTAACCACCTTCTGTCCAGGTCAAACCAGACTTCCTGGACATATTCCCACGCGCCTTCGTCTGCCACCCAAGTGCTTCCTTATGCTAACACTTCCTGTGACCCCCACCTCCCACCCATGGGCAAGACCCATGTGAAGCCTAGAGGGTGTGCAGAGACTAAGGAGCCTGGAGCCCAAGCTTTTTGATCCTAAGGCAGTGGCCACTGCATGTGTGTGCAGCCGGGGAGGGAGCAGGAGAGATGAGATGAAATAGTGACTCACCCAATTGGAGAGAGAAAATCTGGTCCAGGAAGGTTTGGTCTGATGAGTTCATGAATACCCTGGGTCAAAGTGGTAGAGATAAGAGATTCCAGGGAAGAAACTGCAGAAATAAAGCCACAGGGCTGGAGTTTTCACCAAAGAAGGAGGCTTGAGACACAAAAGGGTGATAGGAAAGGTGACTGGAGTGAGGATTCTGCCATACCACATGTCCTAAACATTCCTGATGTGCTTCCTCTTCTCTAGAGTAGCATAATAGAGCCTAAGCCCCGCCTGGCATATGTAGGCTCTCAATAAAGCTTTCCGTCTCCTCTGGCTGCTGAGTAGATCTCCCTTAGGCCTGTATGGAGAACTAAAACCTACCAAAACCCAGCTAAGGTCAGGGGCTTCTCATCTGACTGTAGCTTTACCTGTCCTGCCCCACCACATCTTCCAGTATAGGCACCTTGGCCCCATTAGATGGCCTCAGGTCCTTCCTGCTGAAACTGGCAGTTTGCCTGTCCTGGGAGTCCTATTCCATGGGGAGGTGCGATTTCTCCTCCTACGGTCTTAACCTGGGGCTGGAGCCAGTCACCATGAGGACAAAGATTTTGTGCACATCCAAAGCAGGAATGTGTAAACTCTTACTACCCATTTACTCTTAATTATCTCTCCTCCTTATTTGTCTTCCTTTAACGGTCTGTCAACCAAAATCTCCTGCCTTTTTCTCTGTGCCAGTGACCTCAATTAGGTGCACATCTGTGGAGGCTGGAACTGAAATATCCAGCCACCAGTACCTATTGCCATACCTACACTGGCTCCAGGTGCCTAACCCCCTGGCATTCTCTGGGGATGGCAAAGGACAGGCAGGCTGCCCCTGATATTTCTCAGGCCACTGAAAGGTCTGCCTCTGGAAGGTGCCTACCACCCATGGGACTTCCAGGAGGAGTTACACCTTTGTGCTGATCCTCTGGCACTATAAGCACAGGTATTTGTCCAGCCACCAGTTAGGAGAGGCCACTCCTGGATATTCTTGCCTGAAAGTGGGGGACAGAAATGCTGGAGACATATCAGCAGAAAGGGATGCGAAGGGGCTGCTTATGCCAGGTTTGTTAAGTCCTCAATGCAGGAGTCTCTCATTCTGTCCAGCCTAGTATAGGGGCTGCTCTGCCCAGGAGCAGGGGGAAATCTAACATAATCAGGCATCTCGCTCAGACAGGGCCTTGCTGTCTCACAGAGCTAGTCTGATTTAGCCTCTCAAATTCCACTAGGCCCAAGGGACTGGGGATTTAGCTCAGCAGCATAACAAGGCAAGGTTGTGAGTTCAATTCCCAGTACCAAAAAAAAAAAAAAAAAAGAAAAAAAAAATCCACTAGGCCTTTCCTGTCCTCTGAGCCTCAGAGCTGGGGCACAGGGTCTCTGGTCTCAACCCTGTCTTCCTTTGATAATGTTTTTGGAGCCCCATTGGGGGCTTCTGGCAAACCTCAATGTAGCCCCTGAAGGTGTTATGGTTTGTGTCTGGGTGTCCCCCTAAAGTGTCAGGAGGCGTTTTTGGAGGCAGGCTTCTCGAGATTGTGTTTGATTCATGGTCCAGTGCTGGAATTGTAGGTGTGAGTGCTACACTTGCCCTGGGGCTGGTAGTCTACATACATTAGAAGGGACAGAAAGAGTCTTTGTGTGCTCCTCCCTTTTTCTCTTGTTATTTGCTATTTTCTAATGTCATCAACTCTTGCCCCTGTACCACACCACCCTACTTTGGACCCAGCTGATTATGGACTGAAACGTCCATAAACTGTGAGCTAAATGAACCTCTCTTTTCTTAATTTTGGGCATCTGGTACTTTGTCAGTGAGGATAAAAAAGTAACCAAGACAGAAGGTCATTTGGGTCAGGGGAGTAATGACCTCTAGCAAATGAAAGAAGCAGTCTCCCTGTCAAAGCTCAACTATTAGAGATGGAACAAGGGTGAGGAACCACAGCAGGACTGGGAAGCAAGTAAAAATTCCAGACCCTGCTCCCATCTCTGCAGTCTTCAGTCTAGGGCCTACTCAACTTTGACTCCTCCTTGGGCTGATCTGTGAGTGGATGGTGGGATGATGGGGGTCAGGGGTTTCTGGGCGTTTTCGAGATAACTTTCCAGCAGTTACTATCCCTTACGCTTCATGTAGGCAGCTAGACAGAGTCTGTGAGCTGGCTCTGCACCAGGCAGGTGGGATGCATTCTCCCATCCAATTTGTGCCAGGGTCTGCAGGGGATTCCAGGGGCAACTCCAGAAAGATTCCACAGATGCTCTTCCCTATCTATGTGCTAAGCCATTCATCTTGTTCTCACTTCATTCTGAAAATGGAAATGAGCGTCCACATAAACACAGGGAACGAAACTGTGGCCTCTTACAAACTGAAACAAAAGTTGGCACTGAAACAAGCCCCAGACTTCTCCTGGCAGCAGGGAAGAGCCAGGGTCTTCTAAGACAGAAATGTCTGGGTTGTGCAGGAATGAATCCCTGGCCCTAAAGGAGTTTGACTACTTAGCGGTTGTGCAAGCCCAGGGAGCTGGGGGCTGGGGCTTGCAGGGTGGGTGGTGGTGGTGGTGGGTGTTCCTGAGGACTAGGAGGCGGGGTTTTTCCCTGGGGCTGCCTTTTCAGCCCTTAGTGGCTGCATTTTATCATTCTCAGCTCCAGACAAACAGCAGCTGGACCCAGGGTCCTGCTCAGGGGACAAGGAAATTCGGACCTTTTCTTTTGGCCAGTGGCTGGACGCCTAAGAAAGGAGAAATCTTCCTGTAGCTGGAGCCACGGGGGTTGGGATGAGTTGGTGTGACAGCACTGTTACCCTTTTCTCTGGTCTGTTGAAGCCTGCCATTCCATCATTAAACCTGTGACTTCAGGCCTTAAGCCTGTTGAAGGTCGAGCCACCAGAAGTGTCACACACGCCTGCCCAGGGTTCTAGGGAGGGAGGCTTTTTTCTGTGCGCTGGGCGGAGAGGAACCCCGGGGGGTATAAGGTGTGGGGGCAGGGCTGCGCCCCGGGCGCAGGACGCTCAGCGCGCCTGGACTCCGCTGGGTTGCCAGGGCTAGTAGGGCAGTCTCGGGACCGTGCGGGGACGAGGACGCACGGGCACAGGCGAGCGCGTGGCCGCGCCGGGGGCGCGCAGGGGAGGACCGACAGGAGAGGGAGTGGGAAGCAGAGAGCGAGGAGGGCGGCGCCGGCAGGTTGGCAGCGGCCGCTATTTGAGCGCAGGTCCTGCGCTCGGCGCTCAGAGCGCTAGGAGCCAGCGCGGTGGGGACATCGTACCGCGCATCCCGCAGAGGCGCTGCGGCCGGTGCAGCCCCAGAGGCCCCGCGCGGAGCCGGCGGCGGCGGAGCGCAGGCCGGCTTGTCGCCCGCAGACTGCAACCCGCTGTCCGCGCCCCCCCAGCCGGTCGCCGCCACCGCCCCCTCTCCCCGCGGCACCGCGTCTTGAATGGAAACATGGCGGTGCCGGCTCGGACCTGCGGCGCCGCTCGGCCCGGCGTGGCGCGGACCGCCCGCCCCCGGCCCGGCCCCGGTCCCCGGCGCTCGGCGTCTGGGCCCGCGCGTCGGCTGTGGCTGTTTCTTCTCCTGCTCCTCGCCGCCCCGGGCGCCTCTGCCTACAGCTTCCCCCAGCAGCACACGTAAGTGGTCGCCTTCGGCCACGGGACCCCGCTGAGCCCTGCGCGCCCCTTGACCCTTCAGTCCACGCCCGGGCGAGGGCGCCAGGTGCAGAGCACTCTGCCTGGGGATAGCAGCCCGAGCCCTGGACTCGCAGACGCTGTCCTGGCGCTTCTGGCTGCATCGCGAAACTTCCCCGCGGTGCCCCCACTTCTCCCGACCACCCCAAAGGAGGCAGGGCAAGGTCTCCATGCCCCAGGGTGGGGCGAGGGTCCTAGTCTGCCTGCTGGTGACTCTATTGCTGTCCGGGTGAGTGGGTACCAGCGCTTGGATGAAGGGGTGGCCAACGACCCCTGCCTATCGGAGTTGGACGCGTGCATCAGCCCCACGTTTTCTCCTGGGTGGAAGCCTGCCGCTTTAAAGTCAGAGGTGGGGGGCACCTCCACACCTGTCTTTTGGGGGCCTTTTCTTTTGAAGGTGGCTGGATGCAGAGGACGCAAACACCTTGTGATCGGTGTTGCCTGTTCTTGGCCACCCCTCAACTCGAGGACAGGGGCCCTCTAAGAGCCCAATTAGGAGGTGAAGGGGCTTGAGGTTGGGACAGAGGTGAGTGGTGAGAAACCCCTGCCAGCCTCTGCTGCTGCTCCCGGGCTGCCAACAAGATAATAGCGTTTCCAGCTCTGCCAGCTTCTGCTGGTGCTTATGGTCCTTTCAAGCCTCCTCACCGTCCTCAGGAGCCTGCAGACTCGGCCAGCTGTGTCTGGGCTGAGTGCGTATTCAGTATTTGTGCCCCTTAGTATAGCATCTGTTTCCTGATACCATGCCGCAACCATATGTCAGTTGCCTAGACAGCCCTTTGGGGCATCGCTGACCACCCTGCCTCTGCTTTCTGTCTCTGGGTCTGAGGAGCCACCTGTCTCTGCACTCTGTCACCAGTGTCCTGGCATAGGTTTGGGGCATGAGGACTGGTACTGCTATGGCCAAGGGGAAGAGGCTGGTTTCAGGGAGGGGGAGCAGCTGGCTGTATCATTAGAGCCTTTGTACCCAAGGGTAAGAACCCCTGGTTCTGCCACAGAACCTGCCCTCTCTGGTTTGTACGCTCTTCTAGATGAGGAAAAAACAAAACTCAGGAAAGGCACTGCTCTGAGTCTGTCTCCGTTTTGTCATTTCTCTCCTTGCACAGCCTGGCTTTGCTCAGGCGGGTGATCACTTGTCAAATTACAGGTGCCATACAGACATGTCCTCTGTCAACAGTCTGGATTGTGTGTGTGTGTATGTGAGGGGTGTGCAGGGAGAAGAGAATCGTATGGAAGTTCAGGGCCACTGGGCACATTATTGTCTTTCATTTGCTGTGATGAAAATGGACTTAAACCACAGTGCTTAAACAAGAGAAAAAGCACCGTTGTTTTTTGTTTGCTTTTTTTTGCAATAAAAAGCCATAGTTATTTTTTTTTTTCCTAGCTGTTTCATTGCTCCTTGAGTGAAGGTTTAAGCAGACGTCCCTTTCTGACCTCACTCCCCTTCATCACAACCTGCAGTTGTTCACATGGCTGCTGGGCCTGCATGAGTCTCCCTTGGAAGGCCAGTATCAGACCCCGACCAGAGTGAACACCTGTCCCTCTGTCTTCAGCCTGAAGATGGTGAGGCGGGTGTGACAGCAGTGGCACATTTATAGCTGGATGCTCTTCTCTTGTTGATATAGTTGGAGCTAATTTGAGGGTTTGGGACATGTTTTGCAAGCTATAATTAGGGAATGGGAGTGGGGGCTGTGGAAATCTGAGGGTCCAGGGGAGGTGACTAATGCTATGACATCTCGGAGGCTTTGCAGTGACAGCCAGTACCCTTCAACTGTCCTGGACCCACAGATGTGGATGCTTATTGATTCTTAGAGAAAGGAAGGGGAAGGAATCCTGAGGGTCCCTACCCAGGACCGAAGCTGGCTGAACTGACATAAAAGGCTGAGACTGACCCTGGGGCTTGAGGGCTGTGTGGAGCTGCGCTGCTCGGGGTGGGTGTCCTCCCTGAACGTTCTGGGTCAGCATGGCCAGACCAGGATCACACTGATAACAGGTGGATTTCCAAGGTGAAGAGCAGGAGCCGCTCTCCCACAGAACTGAGATGATTGCCTGTTGGTGGGGAGGGGCCCTGATGGCCAAGTAACTTCATCATTAGCATCTGTCGTTATGGAGGGGTCCACTATGCAAGCAGCTGGGTTTTCAGCAAGGGCAGGTTTTGAGTCTGGTGGCTGTTATTTCTGAATTCCTCTGGTGGCATGGCTCTCTGCTCACCAGGTGAAATGGATGAAATGGACTAGGGCAGCAGCCCAGTTGAGAAGGGCAGAGGAGTTCCTGCTGGAGGAAGAACAGGACTTTGGTTTTAGGGTGAGAATCTTTCTCTCCCCACCTGGATCAGTGTTTCAAATGCAGAGGAGGTCATGTGGGTGTGGTGCATGTGTCTGTGTTTGTGCACTGCTGTGATGGGGGGCAGAGTCAGAACATACTCCTTTCTACCTGCTTCCTCTTAGTTCAGCCCCCAGTGCTCATGCTGAGTGATGCTGCTGGGAGGCAGCCCTCGCTGCTCTCTGCCCTGCGTTTTTCTCTCCCCTGCCCCCTCTTCTCTGAGTCTCTCATTTCTTTTGTCCCAGCACTTGTCTCTTCCTGTCATCAACCTGTGTTCACCCTGCCACAACTGCCCCTTTGTCCTCTCCATTGGCATTCCCTACTCTCTGGTGCCCCTGGGCTTCTGTGACCCCTGCTTTTTGGAGTCCTGGCTGAGTGCAGGGTGCAGCACAGGCTGAGCTGCCCTCCTGGCCATTGTAATGGTGGAGTAGACCAGTGCCTCCCTTCCTTTGGTGATGATGGGGAGGTGTGAGGGGCAAATTAATGATGGCCCAAGATACATGCACGCTCCTTCCCGAGCAGACACGAAGAGAGCAGTGCCCATGACGGGGCATGCGTCAGTCTAGCTATGGTTAATGGTGGGTGACGTGTGTCTGTCTGGGCCTTTGAGCCCCTGTCTCCTCCTCCCCATTGCTCTCCTGTTGGAGGGAAGCAACATTTCACGTCTGGGTCCCCCATCTTCCCAACAACCTGCCGCAGCTTTTGTGGGAGGGAGGGGCGGGCTTTGTGACCTGCCGCTGCCGCCACAGGAATGCAGCAATGCTAGGTGCTCACATCTTGCCTGGCATTGAGGATTTTTTGAAGAGAACCTTAGCTGCTGCCCCTCAACTGTACTTTTAGTGGGTACCTCCTCCTGGCCAGCTGTGTCAGGCTCACCCCTGAGGAGGGAGGAAACCCATTCTAAAATGAGTCCCCGTTGTAGTCTGAGGATGTCTCACTCCAGATTCTTTGTCATACTTATGTCCCCAAGGAGACACTGACTCCAGAGGGAAGCTGGCCCCACAGTGAAATGAGTCCTTCTGCAACCAGTGTTGCCTTCTCTCCTGTGCTTGGGCCCAGGTAGACACCAGCTACTCTTCACTCCTCAGATGTGTACAGGCAGACACCGTCAGCTCCTGGGAGGCAGCAGTTTGGGGATATGCTAAGTGTCAGGCATACACCTTGTATGCTCAGACTTTGGCCTCTGGAGCTGAACCACTCCATTGGGATGACCTTGGCTTAGTTTCCCCAACTGAGGTACTAGAGTCACCTCAAGAAGCTGATGGGAAGAATTAATGGAGAGGGGCAGCTTCTGGTGCAGACAGGGCTCTCGTGAGCACAGAGACAGCCACCATTCAGGTTAGCATCAAACCCAGATTCCACTGCCCCAGGTCCTCATCACCAGTCTCTTGACGCTCCCACAAGCTAAGTGCATTCTTGTTTCCCTGATCTGTGCCACTGCCCATCACTGGTACCTGCTTTTCTTATACCCATGTCTTTTGGAGGCTTCTCCACTGCCAGTTCTGGGTATATCACTTGCTCAGGCTATTCCTAGGCACACAAGATACCAGAACCCCTAAACATCCCCTATTACAGATGGGCAGACTGAGTCTCAGGAAGATGAAAGATCTTGTCCCAAGCCCCAACTACTGGAGGAAGGGCTGGGAGAGTATTGTTCCATTAGACATGTAGCTGCCCTGCCAGGAAGCTAGGGGCATCTGGGCAGTGGGCTCAGGAAGGAATGTGTGTGGGGGTGGGATAGAAACCTGAGTCTGAGTATTTGGAGGAAAACAAAATAAACCTGACATGAAGATCATCCCCTCAGTATTCTGTGGGGCTGAAGCCAGCGTGAGAAAAGTCCCTCCCCACAGTGACTGTAGGGGGACCTGGAAGGGAAAGAGAAAAACTACCCCAAACCTACCAGTGACACCACCCTGAAGACAGGGGCTAGGCCTGCCTGCTGGGCTCCTGGACCTCCAGCTGCCCCTTAAGTAGTAACGAGTCCTCAGAACCCTGGATCAGCCCTCACTCCCACTCAATGCTACCTGTCCAGTCCAGGCCACACCAGTCCTGTGGGAGGCATCCAGGCGGCCCAAGTGAGCCTCCACACTGCAACCTTTCCTGCTGTGTTCCTCATGCCTCTTTGGGGTCTGAGGCAGTCACAGAGGCCATCCTTCATCTACCACACTAGCCCCGGGGCTCCTCATGGAGCACCCAGCCCATGAGGGTGGGAGCATCTAACCCCTTGGCAGAGTTATCTCCTGCCAAGGCCTTTAAGCATAGCCAGGCTGCTAGGCAAGGCACTGAGACGGGGTGGTGGAGGAATGAGGAGGTCTTCGTCTCCAGATTCTAGTATGATTCTGGAAAAAATGTCGTGGGGTGGGGCTCTGGGATGTTCTTGGAAACATGGAGCTGGGCCCTCTCTGCAGTTTTGCTGGGCCTGGAGACTTCAGCAAACTCAGAACTTCTAGATACATGGGGGTTAGTGAGGACTCCTTGCTATTTAGAGAGCAGTTGGAGGTTCAGGAGCCCAGCAGGCAGACCTTGGCCCTGTCCTCAGGGTGGTGTCGCTGGTGGGATGGGGGTAGTCTTTCTCTTTCCCTTCAGCTCCCCCACAGTCACTGTGGGGAAACACTTTTCTCATC